AAACTTTTGTATATGAAGCATTTTTTGGGAGTCTTTTCATTCAATGTTTGTGTATGTATGTAGATATATGTTTTACTGATATCTCAAACACCACTCATCGTATTTCAATGAAACTTCACGAGTCCTTGGGATAACTGATTTGTTTTTTGGTTGAGATCCATGCATAATAATAATTTTCATTCTTACATTAGCGGGTCTGAACTACCAAATACATGGTATGATCATTGGCTTTACACTTACATAGTTACTGTTGAAAACATTTTAACCTCATCATGCATTTTTTTGAGCCTTGTAACTGGTGTCTTATCTTTGTATTGTGATCATTATTGTCTTCTGTTAAAATTTTGATAACTATTATGAAAATGAACTCAAATGTTTTTTTTTATCAATTGATTATTGTATTATTTGAGAATAAACTGTCTTGGACCAAAGTGAATTTTTTTTTGTATTCTTTGTACAAAATGGGCTTCCTGCACTGATACATCTACCTGTACTGTAGTCATAAAAGTATATAACCGCAAGGAGAAGCATAAATGTCAGAAATAAAATGTATACTCTAATAATAAAACATAATGGACAGTATGGTGGTGTTCTGAATACTTAGACTTCAATGCAGTGCTATGAGTGCAGTGTTATAAGAGCAATGTATACCTTATCTATATCTTATCAGATTTATTTTATAGTTTAAGAGTCTATCAACATTGCTTGAGCATTTCTGACATTTGTGTTTTTCTCTGTTGTATAATTCTACCCATCATGCATTGCACTGTTTACAAGTGAACTCTGTAATGACGTTTTTAAAATCTTGTTCTCCCAAGACAACAATTATAATATAGATGTCTCAGAAAAAGATAAAACATGAAATAATGTGTTATCTGTGTTAGAAATGGGCTTCCAAAATGCATACATAATTTTCACTATCCTGTTATTTGATGTTCATAACTGTTCCAAAAAGGAAATTTCAACGAGCATGTGTGTGAACTTGACAGCTAGCATATGTATGTCATTCTGTCATTGTCACGATTTTGTCTTGCATAAAATATTGAGCAACCATCATGTGTATGTGTGAAATTTACAACTATCATGTGTATAAGTATTGCAAACTTGACATTAGCATGTGTATGAAGTATTGCAAACTTGACAACTAGCATGTATATGAAGTACTGCAAACTTGACATCTAGCATGTATATGAAGTATTGCGAACTTGACAACTAGCATGTTTGTGTAGTATTGCGAATTTGACATCTAGCATGTGTATGAAGTTTTCCAAACTTGAGAACTAGCATGTATATGAAGTTTTCCAAACTTGAGAACTAGCATGTATATGAAGTATTCTAAACCTGAGGAACTAGCATGTGTATGAAGCATTGCGAACTTGACATCTAACATGTATATGAAGTGTTGCGAACTTGACAACTGGCATGTATATGAAGTATTGCGAACTTGACAACTAGCATGTGTTTGAATTATTGCGAACTTGACATCTAGCATATGTATGAATTGTGAACTTGACATCTAGCATATGCATGAAGAATTGTGAATTTGATAAATGGCATGTGTGTGAAGTATTGAGAGTTTGACAACTATAGTATGTGTATGAAGTATTGTAAACTTGATAACTAGCATGTATATGAAGTATTGCGAACTTGATAACTAGTATGTATATGAAGTATTGCGAACTTGATAACTAGCATGTGTATGAATTATTGCGAACTTGATAACTAGCTCATCTATGAAGTATTAAGAACTTGATAACTAGCATGTGTGTGAAGTATTGCGAACTTGACAACTAGCATGTGTATGAATTATTGCGAACTTGATAACTAGCACGTGTATGAATTATTGCGAACTTGATAACTAGCACGTGTATGAATTATTGCGAACTTGATAACTAGCATGTGTATGAATTATTGCGAACTTGATAACTAGCATGTGTATGAATTATTGCGAACTTGATAACTAGCATGTGTATGAATTATTGCGAACTTGATAACTAGCATGTGTATGAATTATTGCGAACTTGATAACTAGCATGTGTATGAATTATTGCGAACTTGATAACTAGCATGTGTATGAATTATTGCGAACTTGATAACTAGCATGTGTATGAAGTATTGCGAACTTGATAACTAGCATGTGTGTGAATTATTGCGAACTTGATAACTAGCATGTGTATGAATTATTGCAAACTTGACAACTAGCATGTGTGTGAATTATTGCGAACTTGATAACTAGCATGTGTATGAATTATTGCGAACTTGATAACTAGCATGTGTATGAATTATTG